TTTTACAGCAAGAAAACAGGCTAAAGTGAATGTGCCCTAAGCAAGAAAAAAAAAATAATTGAAGTAGATCTTGCATGGAAATGCTTATCTGGTAAACTCCACCAAATAAAAAATAGTCTTAAAAAAAATCTTAAAAAACAACATACCCCATCAGACCCCAATCTTCTGCCGATTCCTAAAGGGACCAATGATATCACTCACTGCTGCCTCTTCATAAGACTACATACCCATAATTCTGTAAGAATGAGCGCCAGCATCATGCAGAAGTGAATTCATGCAAGACTTTGGATACTGAGCTCACCAAGGAGGCAGAGATAAGGCACAAGTAAAATCATTATTATCTTTAGGATATGGATAGAAGTCTGGGTCCACAGCAAATATTTTTTTTCTTCTAATGGTTTTTTTTTTTTAACTTTTGATAAGAATTGGGGGTTCCAAGATAATGCATCTTGCTGCTTTCAAGTTTTGTAAACAAAGAATTAAGCAATTTTCAATCAGAAGTGATACACAGTCTCCAGTAAGTATGAAATGTCAGAATCTGACTCTAAGATGCTTTACTTGACACTTTTTGTTATCTATGCCTTACTTAAACTCTCCAGTGACCTGCTAACCACCAAAGCTAATGGCCACTATTCAGTGCTCCTACTCCTTGACCTCTCTGCGGCCTTTGACACAGTCGACCACCCCCTCCTCCTCAAAAAACTACACTCCTCAGCCTCAGAGATTCTGCTCTCTCCTGGCTCTCATCCTACCTGTCACATCGCTCTTTCAGCGTTACCTATAATGCTACCACCTCCCCCTCACTCCCCCTCTCTGTTGGGGTCCCTCAAGACTCTGTCCTCGGGCCCCTTCTCTTCTCCATCTACATCTCCTCCCTTGGCCAACTCATACACTCTCACGGCTTCAACCACCACCTCTACGCCGACGACGACACACAAATCTATCTCTCAACCCCCCACCTCACCCCCTCGGTCTCCGCCCGAATCACACACCTACTGAGCGACATATCAAACTGGATGTCGCTCCACTTCCTTAAACTGAACCTCTCCAAAACCAAGTTTCTTGTCTTCCCCCCAGCCCGGACACCACCCCCCATTGACTTCTCCGTCACATCCAACAACACCACCATCAAACCCGCCCCGCAGGCCAGAGTACTTGGTGTCATTCTGGACTCCAACCTATCCTTCCAGCCCCAAGTCCAATCTTTAACAAACTCGTGCAGACTCCACCTCCGCAAAATCGCCAAAATACGCACGTTCCTAACCCCAGAAACCACTAAACAGCTCATCCACTCCCTCATCATATCATGACTCGACTACTGCAACTCCCTCCTCACTGGCCTGCCTCGCCGCTGGCTATCCCAGCTTCAGTCGATCCTGAATACGGCTGCCAGACTCATTCTCCTTTCCAACCGCTCCATCTCCGCCACCCCCCTTTGCCAATCCCTCCACTGGCTTCCGATTGCACAATGGATCAAATTCAAAATCCTAACACTGACGTACAAATCTGTCTACCATACTGCCCCGTATTACATCACTGACCTAATATCCAAGTACCGCCCAGCACGCACACTCCGCTCCTCACAAGACCTCCTTCTCTCTAGTTCCCTGGTCTCCTCCTCCCATGCCCACCTCCAGGACTTATCCAGGGTGTCACCCATCCTCTGAAACTCCCTGCCCCAACCCATCAGATTATCACCTACTCTCCTCTCCTTTAGGCGCACCCTGAAAACCCATCTCTTCAGGGAAGCCTACCCCACCCCCTGCTAACCTGCCGACCTCCTCCACTCTTCCTACCACTCCATCCCCCACAGCTATCTCCTCCTGTACCACTATTCCCTCCCTCCTAGATTGTAAGCTCGAAAGAGCAGGGCCCTCGATCCCCTCATGTTTTGAATTGTATTGGTATTGTTCTGTCACATGTTCTGTCCCCCTTTGTAATCTACAGCGCTGAGCGAACCATTGGCGCTTTATAAATACTGTATAATAACAATAATCTATGTATTTCCGTTAAAATATGGCTTTTCCCCACTACCCATGTCTGTCCTATGGCTTCTTCTAATGACAAAGTGTTATAAGTGTGCCAACATATAACTATTCAACAGAAAAGAGAGGGAGTGTGTGTTTGACTCGGCTACGATGAATGAGGGGACACCGATAGAGTGCATGCATTCCTTCATTTATACAAGACAACTGTAGAGATGTATTGTGCACTGCTGTTGGGAACATACCATGACGGTTATTTTCTCACATTAGTCAGGGATTTCATGAGGCTTGATGAAGTTTCTCAAAGAATGCAAACAATTTATCTATGAAATTTCCAGTCTTTGCTGAGGGTCCACCTGTTTAGGCTTTGGAAAAGTTATAAAACCCCAAAAGGTTCTGCTATGCTGTCTGTCACAGAATCCTGGCATTTCCTGAGTGAATTGTAAGACAAGAGTAGACACTGTGCTTTAATGGCCTTGAATAGCTTGTTGCTTGAAACTGGTCACTGTTCCCTTGGGATTCATATCATCCATACTGGCCATGTTATGATTCTTTAGGGATCAATATCATCCATATTGGCCATGTACATGATTTCCATATCATACCATAGCTTTTAACTTCAGCTTGTTCAATTAAGCTTTGACAATAAAACCTGGAAGCTGATTGGTTTCTATGCAGAGCTGCACCAGATTTTGCTCCCTGCAGTTTAATAAATCCCCCCCATAAGTTGAATCCAACAAAATCTTCAGCTAATTGTAGTACAGATGATGTTTTTACAGTCTTTTGAGGTGTAGGAAGACGATGACAACACCGACAGAGGAATCATGCAAGAGGGGGAAGGTTTACCTAAGACTAAACCAATCAACACAAAATAGGAGAAGACAGAGGAAGATACCAAAATTACATTAGTTGTAGTGGCCCAAAACTGCCACTAGCTGTCAGCATACTACAAAACAATAACAAGCTAATGCAGTTCAATACAACACAGGCAAATTACATGAAACTGGGACAAAACACTTATACTAAGTATTAACAATTTAAGGGGCGCCCTACAGCAGATATACTACTACATGGTGGCCCCACTGTGCAAAATCATGTGCAAATACATGATTTTACATTTCCGGGTAGGGGGCATGTACGCGCCACCCTACCTGTGCTGTCATTGGTTTCTGGAGATGTCAATCACTGGGTCCCGGCCAGCGATTCATGACCATCACTTGGCATTTGGCAGAGAAGCTGATAGGGGAGAGACCTGTATGTAAACAACAAATCCTGTCAGCAGAGATGTGCTGCAGCAAGTCTCCTAGTAAGAAAGCACACAGTAAGTACAAAACGGCACACTGTTAATCCTTTGATCGCCCCACATGTTAACACCTTCCTGCCCAGTGTCATTAGTACAGTGTCAGTGATTTTTATTGGCACTGATTGCTATATTAGTGTCACTGGAGATATCAGTGGCAGTTAGTCAGTTCCCACCCAGTGTCAGTTAGTCTCAGAATGCACTCCGCAGTCCCACTATAAGTCGCTGATCGCCGCCATTACTAGTATATAAAAAAAAATGAATAAATAAAAATTCCAGTATGTAAACCAGCATTTGTAGACGCTATAACTTTCACATAAATCAATTAATATACAGTTATTGGGATTTTTTTTGCCAAAGACATGTATCAGAATACATTTTGGCCTACATTTATGAAGAATTTTCTTTTTTTTAATTGGAAATGCTTTATAGCAAAAAGAAAAACATATTGAGGTTTTTTTTTTTTTAATTGTGGGTCTTTTTTTGTTTATTGTGCAAAAATAAAAAATCACAGAGGTGATCAAATACCACCAAAAGAAAGCTTTATTTGTGGGAAAAAAAGGACATAAATTTCATGTCATGAAGAGGGGTAAATCTTCCAGAGGGCAAGTGTTTAAATACATTTACATATTTAGTAAGAAAATCAAAAGAAAGAAGAGGCAGAAAAAGAATGAAATAAGTTTTCAAGTGACCCCTACCTTGCAGCATGGAGTCCTGAAGTCTGTCCCCACGAGGGTTTGTGTTTCTATGCACAACTTAAAATAGACTGGAAGGTTTTTATACTTTCACCCAAAAAGTTAAGTATAGTAAAACAAATAAAAAAATACATACAAAAAAAATATCTCCTAACTTGTATAGGGCTGCCAGAATAAAGGCAGATGGGACATTTTCTCCCTTGTGCATCTTACCCAACATTAAAATACGTTGGCCATAAGGAAAATACGGGGGCTGCCATTGCTGCCCTTCTCCTGAAAGCGCTAGCTGTCTAGCTGTATACAGAATTTTTAAAAAAAACATTGGCTAACTTTAATGCATAATAACCAATGTATATTGACATTTGCAACTGATATAAATAAAAGGAAAATTGTCTTTGCTCTGGATTTTTAAACTATTCATTTGATTTACAATATTTTGTTTTTATGAAGTGATATTTAAGTTATAATGTACAGTAGCTATAACAAGTAACAAAGAGAAGAGTTAGAAATGGAAACATTTGTTTCCAGGTGGTGAAACATAAAAGAAAACAGGAAATTATTCTATTATTAACAACTAGCCTACAGGGCACTTATACCCCCTTCCTGCCCAGGCCAATTTCCAGCTTTCAGCGCTGTCACACTTTGAATGACAATTGCGCGGTCATGCAACATTGTACCCATATGAAATTTTTATCATTTTTTTGAGACAGATAGAGCTTTCGTTTGGTGGTATTTAATCACCTCGGGGATTTTTATTTTTTCTTAAACAAACCAAAAACCACTGAAAATTTTGAAAAAAAAAAAGTTTTTTCTTAGTTTTTGTTATACAATTTTGTAAATAAGTGATTTTTCTCCTTCACTGATGTGCGCTAATGAGGCTGCAGTGATGGGCACTGATAGGCTGCACTGATGGACACTGATAGGTGGCACTGATGGGCACTGATGGGCACTGATGAGGAGGCACTGGTAGGTTGCACTGATGGGCATTGACAGGCATCTCTGCTGGGAACTGAAAGGCAGCACTGATACATGACACTGATACATGACACTGATAGGTGGCACTGATAGGTAGCACTGACTGGCACTGATAGGCGGCACTGACTGGCACTGTTAGGCAGCACTGACTGGCACTGTTAGGCGGCACTGACTGGCACTGATAGGCGACACCGACTGGCACTGATAGGTGGCACTGATAGGCAGCACTGATAGGTGGCACTGATTGGCATTGATAGGTGGCACTGACTGGCACTGACGGGTTAAATTGAAAGACAGCTCAGATGGGCACTGATATGGGCATTGATGTGCACTGGTATGCACTGATATGTGGCATTGATGTGGCACTGATGGGCACTGGCACTGATGAGCACTGGCACTGATGGGCACTGGCACTGATGAACACTGACAGGTGGCACCTCTGGGGCCACACTGATGATCAGGGCACACTGATCATCAGTGCTCTGATGATCAGTGTACATGTCCCCTCCGCGGAAAGCCGATTACCGGCTCTCCTCTCCTCACAGCTGATCACATGACTGATCCGACATCTTCGGCTCTTTCCGTGATCCGCTGTGTCCTAGGGACACAGCGGACCGGCGATCGCGGTGCTGCGCGATCCCTGAGCCACGCATGCGCAGTGAGAATGGTAGGATGTCATATGACGTCCTATCAGAATGAGAGAACCACCTTGCCCCCGTCATTGTACTACAGGGCGGCGGAAGGTGGTTAAATTAACAAGATATATTCATAAAACAAATCTGCATGTTTCAAAACACAAAAGAAAGGAAAGATTACCATAAATGTAACATAAATAACATGTATGATTCCTCCCAAGAATCAGACTACTGGCTAAAGGTGTCTGTTTGTAAAACTGAGATGAGCGGCGATCCTGAGGATCGTTGCTGATCTTACTACATTAGTGGTTTATGAAACAGAGATGATCAGCGGAGAACATGTTCTCCACTGATCATCTCAGCACACAGAGAATCTGTCATTGACAGAAACAGAAATGGCCAGTTTATGAAGGAGTGATGCCAGCTCTTTACTGGCGATCTGTGTGAAAATTCTCCCTCCCAGATTCTCCAGCCCAGAGGTGCAGAATCGGAGAGAGAAGTGTGAATCTCGGGAGAACTGAGGAGGAAGATTATTGACTTCCTTCTTCTTCGGTCAGAACCCCCAAGACAGTGAAGTAAGCCCCTCTGCCTTTCACAACCCCTGATGGGGTAGAGTAAGTTAGAAACACAATATAGTATATTTTATTTTTATATAATTTACCGCTGCTTAATAAACTGTGCTTGAGTGATCTCTTACTGTAATCTCACTATATCTCATGAGAAAACAGTAACAGCAGCTGTTTTCTAGAGTTCAAAGCATTTGTAGATCACTTCACTCCTCTTTAGGGGAAGCTATCCACACCGCTTCATAAAAAGGCACTTAGAGGAGCGCTGTCTCCTCTGAGAATGCCAGAGAACTGAGCAGTGGTCATTTGCTGCTGCATGATAAACGTACACCAAAGTCTGTTTCATGATCAGTATACGATAGCTTTGAATTTTGCATACATCCTTTTTATCTTCCAATGTCTTAAAACCTGAACTCCAGAAGGATATAAGAAACACCTCTTTATCCAATGATACCACCATATGTACCTACATCTTTCCTTGTAGTAGCCTCTTTGACCTTCTGTAAACACTCAGACTTTTGACGATGTAGTAGTTTACTGTGGAAAATAGTGGAATTGTGCCCGATTGCAGAATATACTTTATTTGGAATACTTTGCATTACTGTCCACCATTCTTTGGTCCCGATTTCCATGATCCACATTTTATTGTGGTCGCCGGGGGGGGTGCGGAGGGCATGCTGTGTGCCCAAGCAGGTGCACCACGGCCCCCTGTGTTAGTAAAGCCAGAGCAGCGTACCGGTACGTATATGCACAGATTACTTCTCTTTCTGAAGACACTCAGTTCTTTTGGGAGAAGTGACAACTCCAATATATTATGCTTTGTAAGTAGCTAGTAGCTAGTTTAAAGTGGAACTACACTGCTCACAAAAATGAAAAGTACACTTTGAAAACACATCAGATCTCAATGGGGAAAAATATCATGTTAGATAACTAAACTGATATGGACTGGGTAATGTGTTAAGAACATAAGGATGCTCCATCGTTTGATGGAATTGAAAATTATCAACCTACAAAGGACTGAATTCAAAGACACCCTGAAAATCAAAGTGGCAGAAAGATGCAGCAGGTTAGTCCATTTTGCTGAAATTTCATTGCAGCAACTCAATATGGTAATCTGTATGGCCCTCACGTGCTTGTATGCATGCCTGACAACAGTGGGGCATGCTCTTAATGAGATGACAGATGGTGTCCTGGGCCAGGGCATCGCGGAGCTTCTGGACAGTCTGAGGTGCAACCTGGCAGAGTCGGATGGACCAACACATGCTATCCCAGAGGTGTTCTATTGGATTTAGGTCAGGCGAGCGTGGGGGCCTTTCAATGGTATCAATTCCTTCATCCTCAAGGAACTGCCTGCATACTCTCACCACATGAGGCCAGGCATTGTCCTGCACAAGGAGGAACCCAGGACCCACTGCACCAGCCCTACGCTGAACAATGGATCCAAGTGTAGCAAACGTGCACACAGAGATGGATGCGAACCTCCATTTTGGCAACTGCCTCCATCTTCTATCATTTTCTACTCCCAAATCAGCTTCCCTCATCCCCCCTCCCTCTCTGTTGAGTGACATGTGGTCTGTTTGATGCAGAGATCAAAGGCAGCAAACTCATTGGGAGGGCGTCATGGTTATAAACCCCAATTAGCCTGGCCCCCCTATGTCTGCGAGACTCTTGCTTGTAGAAGGATCGTAAAACCATAAACCAAGTCCTTCACTGAGCTCAAAGACATTCCAGATAAGCCATAAAGCAGACATCACATTCAACTTTCACTTTCCCATACGATTACATATCTTAGAATACGAGAGACTTGCATAAAAACCAGGCATATATTCTGACTGGTCACTTTAATACAAGTCGTCTGATATATTACACCCCCTATCTGACATATACAGGAAAGCAGAAAATGATATCTCCTTAACCGTCACAACAGGTATGTCATATTTCATACCTAGACGTTCAGCAGGTGATTCTGCATATTAATCTACTAGTGGCAAGGCTGCTAACTGCACCGAGAATATGTTATGAACCATGATATCAAATGGGAGGGTCTTAGGTTCTAGCTTGGGTCTCCGCCCCAACACCCCTCCCCAAATGAGGCGATTGGTTCTCTGCTTTAAGGAGACACCCTGCTGAGTTCCTAGATAAAACTAAGCAAAGCTTAGTTGAGCTAAGTTGAAGATTCTCCCTTTTAACATCGGAAATAACTTTGGCTGATAAAGCACCCTTTTGGCTCAGGAAACTTGATCTGCTTAAACCAGGTCATTTGGCAAGTACTTCACCTCCCTAAATTTCCTTCTGTTATCTCTTTGCTGTGTTATTGCTCTCTGTATATTTATATATATATTGGATACCTCTTTTTCTGTAAATATTTTTATTGCACCCTTTTGACCTTTTAGTAATAAATCTTACTTTCTGAAAGTGTTGAACTGTTTCTAAAGCTCTTTAATGCAAACTAAGAACCCCTGCCTCTAAAGAGCGCTACTGTGTGTGTGTTTTAAACTTCAGTATATCTCTGCCTGCAGTGACAGTGGTATACCAATGCTTATGCAAACATCATAGTGTTATTGCTGATATTGCCGAGTTTCCTCTTTCTCTGTACAAAAAGGAGATGGTGGCAGTGTGAAGGGATGTCAGGCCCTCAGGCCACCCTCATGAAGTCTGTTTCTGATTGCTTGGTCAGAGACATTTACCCCAGTGACCTGCTGAAGGTCATTTTGTAGAGTTCTGGCAGTGCTCATCCTGTTCCTCCTTGCACAAAGGAGCAGATACCAGTCCTGCTAATGGGTTAAGGACCTTCAATGGCCCTGTTCACCTCTCCTAGTGTAACTGCCTGTCTCCTGGACTCTTCTCCATGCTCTTGCGACTGTGCTGGGAGACACAGCAAACCTTCTGGCAATGGCATGTATTGATGTGCCATTCTGGAGGAGTTTGACTGCCTGTGCAACCTCTATAGGGTCCAGGTATATCATCTCAGTGACACTGACCCTAGCCAAATGCAAAGCTAGTAAAAAACAGTCAGAAAAGATGAGTAAGGAAAAAATGTCAGTGGCCTCCACCTGTAAAACCATTTCTGTTTTGGGGGTTTCTCATTGTTGCCCATCTAGTGCACCTGTTGTTAATTTCATGAACACCAAAGCAGCTGAAACTGACTAACAACCCCCTCTGCTACTTTACTGACCAGATCAATATCCCAGGAGTTTAATTGACTAGATTCTATACTCTGATTAAAAAGTGTTCCTTTTTTTTTTTGAGCAGTGTATATTCATCTCCTCTCCAGTGATGTGATGTCTATGAACTCTCATGCCAGCACTGACATCTTCAACTGATCTTCTCCTAGGTCTAGGTTCTTTGGTCATATTAATTGTCTGTGACAGGATGATATGGCTAGTCCCAACTGTCCTACATTTTTGGAGAATGTGAGAAGAGAGTAACACATGGTTTGGGCCATAGTTTTGGCATATACTGTACACTTGATTAGGAGCAGTTGCATTGCTACAGGGGGGGAAATTGCCCCTCCCAGGTTATTCTTTGCCCCATGTGTGCTCCCACACTAAATTGGGCTGCCGGGCGGTGGCGGAACTGGCAGGGTTGCAGTGAGCAGGCCCTGGTGTTCCACCACCTCTGGGGGCCCTGACAAGTGGAACGGGGCCCTGCTGATCATAAGCAGTATTGGGATCCCTCTTGCATACCCAAACACCCGTGCAACCAGTGACATCGCTATGGGGGTGCAGGAGGTGCGGACCACACCTGGGTGACACCTGCCAGAAGGGTGACACCCATGGTAATTGTTAATGTGGGGCAAAAGGGTGCATGGAGGCCCCAGCATTCAGAGGGGAAAGATGTAACTTACTCCTCCAGAGCTGCTCTGCCTCTAGTGCTGTACTTCCTGGCTTTGGGTTTTCTGCTGACAATGGCACAGGCCAGGAGTCTGAAGGGACCTGCTGTCTGGAGCAGGACACTGCTGCTGAGCTGACTGGCTGGAAGTCTGAGGGGGCCAACAGAGGGTGCAGTGCTCTAGGGTTTTGTAAAGTGATCATCAGCAGATCTTAGAATAGTTGCATTTCAGTGTTTGTAATTTGATTGTTGTAATTTGCAGTTAAAGTCTCTTCCTTCAGAGCGATGTAACCAGTCACATCCCTTGGTAGGTCATCTGTGGAGCTCCTTCAGCATAGGCTCGGTGTAACCTGTCAAAATCTATTGG